TCTCACTCCGATTGAGATTACTTTCTGTTCCCCACAAGCTGATTGTTAGATTTGTGAATGCATGCGTGCTACCCCACTGGTTGTATTGCTCTCCAGTAATTTTTCCCGGTATGCTATTCACTGGCGAGATCTCTGAAACACATCTCTAAACGTAGTGGCATTGTCAGAGATAAACTAGCCGATTCTATCATTGACAGACACCTACAAGCATGTGAAAATGTTGCCGCTAAAATACTCTCAGACACTCACCAACCATTACACAATGAATTTTCAAAAGCTGTATCTACATCATCCACACGCTCCAGATTTAAACTCTTATTTGCACGTACCTGCGCTCATCGCAAGTCTGTTCTGCCATATCTAGCACGTCTACTTATTGCGCAACCGCTGGCTTCATTGACAAACACGTCATGGCTTTCAGTTTCATTATGTAATGATTTTGTAAACTTTGGTCCACAAATATGGTGTGATTGCTGAAAATACACCCATCAGGGTGCATAAAGCTAATACTGACTGACTTGACTTGAACAATAATAATAATAATAATAATAATGATATATTTCACGAAGCTCGTGAGGCATGCTAGTGCGCATGATCAAATGTAAAACAATGTAAAAAAAACTGACGGTCCAAAAAAAGGTTAAATGTACAGAGAGGGTGAGAACGTGATTTTCAAACGAATACAAAAGACATCGTAACCATGCATTGCGGTGAAAAAGAAACACAAAGCGTACAGGGCCATATAATGCAGTAATGAGAGTGATCTGATATGGAGATCACATCAATGTAAACGATTGTCGTATGACGAACATTGAGGAACATAGAACTGGAGGTGGAGATGTTCGCTCGGAAGATAATGCGCGGAAACGAGTTCGGAGAGTTGAAGGAGGGTAGTGAACGTGAAAGCTATAGAATTACAGAGGAAGAGCTGCGGTAGAACCAAGGAAGTGCAACGGAATACAGTAGGACGACAAATGGATCATGAAGAAACTGTTTCAGGGATCAATACAGATGGACTGACTTCTTGAACAAGGAGTAAAGTGCTTCGGAGCTTCACCGATAACGAAAGACTGGTTCATATTATTTATGTTATTTAGGCGTTGGTCGCTTTGATGTGGGACTGACTACACGATAGACACCCAACCTTAAAACACCTTGTAGGTGAGGCAGGGGGTGTGATCCTCAACCTGGTCCGGAATGCGGACGCATGTAGTCTAAACGATGGATACAACCGTGCACAACAACCATTGCCGGAGCCGGATTGTCCATTGTGGGTGTAGACCCCAAGCCTTCGGCAGGCCCAAGCCAACCGAATCTGGAACAAAAAGATGACGTCAATGACACACGCATGGCTGCTGCCTACACGTCATTGGTGGATCGTGCCAGCCAATCCGAGGCAGTGCAGACAGAAGCACAATTTTGCAAGCAGTATTGTAATCAGATTGGTGTACTCCTAGATAACCAATAATCTTCTTCTGTACATATTATTTAATCGCCTTCATTTCTTCCAATAAACTAACTTCGTACTACTATTTTTGTGGCCTTTTCCTCACGCCTCGTCCACGTGGGATATTGCGAACTCGTGCCATTGCGGTCCAGTGCTTCCGTAGTCCAGTCCGTAACAGCGAATCCTTGATTTGTGTTCTGTGATTCCTGTGGTTTGCATTCCGAATTCCGTGCGTACTACTAGTAATACAGCAAGCATTACCGTTTAGGATTAGGTTATTTCACCGTCGTTTTATCCCGCGTTGTGCCCAGATCTGTGAGCCCATGACCGATCTACTCTGCGGAAACCGTAAATCGGGAACTTTCAACGACGCTACTTTCAAGGCCTTCAATGCATTTGAAGAGGCACTTTCACAGGTTACACTTTTAGTTCACCACTCTCCGGAGGCACCTTATAGCCTGACCCTTGATGCTTCTNATTGGCGTCGCGTGATGGAGCTTCCAACGATTGAGCAACTGAACTTGCAAGCAAGTCCATCCGAAATCGAGGAATGGGTCGAACCATTCGAGCTCTAGTGCAGTATTCTCAGAGGTGGTGCACAAAATCAGTCAGCCCTACATTTTACTACTGGTGGCCGTGACATCTACTCCCTGTTGAGAAACCTGACGTTTCCTGAGGCTCCGGCTAAACTACCATACGAGTCGCAGAAGTCACTGCTGCTCAAACACCTGCTGCCCATTGAGTTCCAAGCACACAAAAGGGCCAAATTCAACTCCATGATTCGTACCGATCATGTTTCCTGTCGTGAATTCATCCTGCAGCCGAAATAAACAGGCATTACGCTGCAACTATGGTGATCGCCTGGAAGAAAAAATGTGTGACCGCTTGGTGGCAGGCATTAACAATCTGACTTCTCCATGGAATTTGCTGGAGAAGAAGGATTTGAATTTTGCCGATTCCCGTAAGATCTGTGAGCAACACGACGACCTGATGAAAGCGACTTCCAGCCAATCAGTTACATTACTTCAACGGCAGAAGACCCGACCAGACCGACCTCCATTGCCCACGAGTGTACCGAAACCGCAACACAACTCTTCATGCAACGATAAACGTCTCAACCCTTGTCCGTCATATGGAGCTTACTATTTGCGCACCGATTGCCGCTTCCGAAATGCCAAGTGTCATGCATGCGGGAAACCTGGCCACATTTGGAGAGTGTGTAAACAGCCCTGTTGCAATCTT